TTTTGAGTTTTGGCTTTCGAAGCATCAGGCACACAAACTTGGGTTCTGTAAGGTGGGGAGGTGAAAGGGAGGCAGCCTACTCATAGAGGACTGTGCTAGTCACTGCAAAAATTCTGGCTTTTAATCGGGTCTGGGTAGAAGACAGCAGGGGCAAGAGGAGGGAGCCAGTTATGTGGCTATGACAGTAGATGGGATGACTTTGGGGCTGCCCACAGCTGCCTCAGGCCAGTGGGAATTCTCAGTGTAGATCAGGAATGACCCTCAGTCCCTGTCTTCCCCACCTTCCCCATGAGAACTTCCTGTTTTCACCACCCCCATCCACCCACAAGCAAAAATTCAGAAAGATGTTTTGAGCTGCAAAAGGGTACTAACTTCCTCAATGCCCGTCAAAGTGCCATACACTGTACATATTACTTTATTCTTCACCACATTTCTGCAATCCCAGTTTCACAGATAAGGAAACAGAAGTACAGGGAACCGGAGAAACTAAACCTAGATTCCTAAGCCAATGCGGCTTTTGGTGGCACCATGCAGCGTCCTTGCTGGGACATTCTGTCACCTGATACCTGGCAAAGGAAGATGGTACTGAGCTGGACTCTATGCTAGAAAGGCTTCCCAGGGCAATGAAAATGCCTGATCAGAGTTTCTGATGAAGAAAGGCATAAAAGGCTCAAACACGCCAGGCTGTAATTCCATACCTCAAGCCAATGAGCCAGAGACGCCAGACCGTTCAATTCCTTCCTCTTCTGTCCTCACGCTGACTGAGAGCAATGTCAGACACCAAGAAAGTGTGCGGGAGACACATGCCCCTCCCCCTCTCCCGTATGGGACTGTGGACTAAAGGGGAAGCCGCTCCTGACTTCTCACTGGCTGGCCAGTGACCCAGCGGGGCACTCCTGGAACGGGCACTCTGCTTTCGCTTCTTCAAATTACAAAGAACCACAACAGGGTCACTTTTCGTTCCCCACCTACAGGCTCAGAAACCCAGGCGAAGGCCAGCTGGGCCTTTGGTCTCCATGGGGGCATCCCGAGGACTCAGCTGAAGTAGAATTTGTTTTATTTTTTAAAATATATTTTTATTGATTTCAGAGAGGAAGGGAGAGGGAGAGATAGAAACATCAATGATGAGAGAATCACTGATCAGCTGCCTTGTACACATCCCCTACTAGGGATCGAGCCCACAACCTGGGCATGTGCCCTGACTGGGAATCAAACAGTGACCTCCTGGTTCATAGGTTGATGCTCAACCACTGAGCAACACCAGCTGGGCAGAATTTGTTTTATTTTAAATCATTATGTTGCCAGATATCACAGTCTGAACCCAGAAGAGCATGTATAAAACCCAATATCTGGATTCAAAAGTGTTAGCTAGTAAGGGAAGGAAAAGGGACCAGATACCTAACATGAAGTCACAACCACCTTTCAAAATAGTGATCTTGCCACTCATTCAACACATACTCACTGAGCATAAACATTGTGTCAGCACTGTTCCAGGTGCTCTGGAAGGAGGTGAAGTAGAGAAACAACTGCCTTCGTGAAGCTTACAAGGGGAAGCAGGCACATTCAAAACAGGGAGGTTCAGTAACCTGCCAGATCCTAGGGTTCCCGGGGTTTGAATCCAGCTTGCTCACACTCTACTTACCTCTGTTTACTAGGAATCTGGTGCCCTGCTGTAATTAATAGGGTTTTGGGGTAAGGGTGGGGGCTGAGGGAGACAGGGGAGGGAATTGCTGAAAAGGGGGTATTTTCTTTTGGTGGGTGTTTGACAATCACTGTGGGATCTGTGCTGGATTATAGCAGCAAAGCATCAGGAGGAAATACGTACTTAGCTTGGCATCAAGACTTATATCCAAGCCAAAACTCACTAAGCCTCTCTGGGTTTCACTTTGAATATCTCTAAAAAAAAAAAAAAAGGAGGTTAGCCAAGCAGGAATAGTAACTGAATTCCTCTTACCTAACAATTCAAGCTTATTCAGAGTGGCCGAAGCCACATGTGGGCTGAGCAGAAAGAGCCACAATTGATTAGTGATGTCTGCTAGGAGCGTAGAACAGTGATTAACCTGGGTGATCATCTGAGGCCTCTCCCACTTCTGATGATTTAAGGTATCTGAGTGGGAGTCATTTCAATTTTGATGACAGAATTAAAAACCTCTTCTTTCATGACTTTCTAACCAATTCACAGAATGTTCCTTAACGAGACAGACTGCCAATTTTCTGACATGACACTGGAGATACTGTTGTGTTTAATTTTTAACTTTAAACCGTCTGTTACTATGGCATTTTTACAAGAACCTAGAAGTTTTGTTCTTTACATGCTCCCACTGAACAGTTCATCCTCACCACTGGGACTTGTGGTAGTGTTCCCAAAGGTCTCCCAATCCATATGCCATTTGCAGTGTGGCCTTGCCAATCTGCCAGCAAGGAGTGATCTATTCCCCTTCCCTAGAACACATGCTAGGTAGACCCTGTGGCTGCTTTGACAAATAAAATTGTTTCAAAATTATAAGTTAGTTAATTTAAAAAATATTTTTTTAAAGAAAGGCCTGGTAGCTTCCACTTTTGCACACTATCATGGAAGGAGCCCACTATCTGAGGCTGTCATGCTGTAAGGAGGCCCAAGGCAGACACACTGAAGGGCCATGTGGAGGGAGGGGGAAAGAGAGAAAACAGAGAAAAAAATCCCGAAGGAAAGAACATTAAATAGCTGTCAAATACATTTATGAAATAACTAGAGGCCCGATACACAAAATTTGTGCAAGAGTAGGCCTTCACAGCCCTGGCTGCCTCAGCCCTCACAGCCCCAGCGACCTCGAGGCCCTGCCCCCTGCCCACTGGTGGTTCCGGAAGGTCGTGCCGCTGTCCAGTCTAATTAGCATATTAGCTCTTTATTATATTGAATAAAATAAACAGAGCCTTTTCACCCTAAGAAGAATTAAGATATTATTTTCTCAAAAGGCTGATATAACACCAAAGGTAAAGAAAGAAGATGAAGTCTGTATGTTTTGCAAGCCCAGGAAGCACTTACTCTAGATAAGCTCTATAAAGTTCCACATCTATCGAATGCTAGTTACAGTCAGTATAAAGAATACAGGTCTAGAAATGGCCTACACACTATAGACCATGAGGGCTATGCCTGGAAGACAACACCAGGCAGGCACTGGGCTGAATCTACTAGATAACCCAAATACTAGGCTGACTTTTCTTTTCATTGACATATAACATCTAAGGTAGTACACAAATAGTAAATGTACAGCTTAAAGAATGTTTATACCCGGATTAAGGTAAAGAAGATTCCTAATACTCCAGAAAGTTCCCTTGTGCCCTTCCCAATCAATAACCAACCCCACCTGCACCCCCTACTCCACAGCCAGGAGTAAACACAATTCTGATCTTCATCACTATTGATTATTTTGGCTTGTTCTTGAATTGCACTTAACTAGAATCATACATTATGTGGTATTTTCAGTCTGCCTTCTTTTATTCATCACAGGGTTACCTTGTCTTGAAGCAGAAAACTGGAACCTGAGGTTTACTTTCAGGAAATCCCCCTCTGATGTCACAGACCTGAATGCCAACTACTCTGATTTTACTGGCTATACTTCCTGCACTCTTCTGAGCACGAGCTATTTAAAATTTATAGCAAAACAGAATCTTGGATTGTAAAAGCTTTCCTTCACAATAAACCAAATCTTTTAAAGGTATGAACATCTATTCAATCTTAGCACAGCCTCTGATCTGACACTATAAAAGTATTATCTTTCCCATATTGAGTGTAAAATTCCTCAAATGTATTTTTCTTCCACGGAATCCACCCATTCTAAAGAATCCTCAAATCCTGAAATAAAATAAACTATTGATTCTGTTAGTACTTTTGATTAATAAGGGGTTAAGCTTTAGGAAAATCTCAGAGGCAGACTGAGGCCCTAAATTCAGATGAATATGGGTCAGAACGGACAGGAGAGAGACAAGAGTACAGCAAGAAGTTACATGTACAAGATTCTTAAGCTGAACTAACTGAATTAGATTCTGGGATCTGCCACTTCTAGCTGGGTGACCTCGGGCAAATCATTACTCCACTCTGTGCCTCAATTACTTCACTATAAAATGGGAATAACCTCATAGGATTGTTGCAAGGATTAAATGTTAACGTATATATAAAGCTCTTAGGAGACCACATGGCACATAATAAGCACTCAGTAAAAATTAAGCTGAAAGAGCTGTAAGAGAGCGACTATTCCACAAAGGTTCTGAGCCAGTCCTAGCAGTCACCAAGACATTCAGTACAGTGCTTCTCAAGATATTTCCTTTTTAACCCTTCATAAACTGATACTTTTGTAAAATGCAAGCTCACATGCTTGAATGTCAGGGAAATACCAAATTGCTCTAAATGTTTCTGAATGTTTACTCTCACTTTCTGTGCTTATCTCATCAGAGCCCAGTAGCTGCTCAGGGACTGGCGCTGGTGTGCAGAGTGAATGTTGAGGAGCACTGTTCCAGCACACAAGGACTCACAAGCCAGCTGAGAACTCAGCCAGCAGGTTAAACAGAATTAGGAAAACGTGTTAGTAAAGAAAACCAACCCCGAAAGTAGGGGCAAGAGGATGACTTGAGGGTCAACAAGCTAAGAGAAAATAACCCCAACAGGCTAAACCTGAAAAACAAAACTGACGGCCAGAGCAAAAAGCCAACTGGTCCTTTCCCCCACAGGCGCTCCAGGGGGTGCGCCCAGAACACATGTCGGCCTGGAAGTCATCAGCCCCACAGGGAGCAAGAGAAATGAAGAAAGTAGGCAGAACTGACTCCGGTTTCCTGAGAAAGAAGTCCTCTCAGGAATAAGAAGCCACCCTAAGCACTCACCAAGCTTTGAGAATGTCAACCACGGCACACAAAGGCCAGAGTTTCTTCTCTGCCAAAGAAAACTGGCAAACCCTTCCTTTGGTGACGTGGGACTGCGCACGCCCCGCCCCACATATCCACCTACACACACACCCGTCACATACCTGTGGTTTTAGGAGGCTCCTGAGGTCCGCCTTGCCAGCCATACTGTGGGTATCCTTGGTAGGGGTACCCCTGAGGAGGGGGGTAAGGTCCTCCCATAGGTCCTGGAGGGTAGGCTTCAGGCCCCATTGGTGGTTGTGGATAAGGTGGGTACGGGGCCGTCGGACCAGGGCCCGAATACGGTGGAGGGTTCCCTGGGTTCATTAGGGAACTGCAGAATATACCTAAAAGACAAAGAAAAAAATTATTTGCATTTAACCAGTGGAAATCATTAGGAAACGGAATTTCAACCCAAGAGATCTTTTATAAAATGCCGTAAAGGTATTTCAAACCTCTTGCAAATCTGCAGCTCTGCCCATTGTGTTTCCTTCTCACCATCATAATTGGCAAATATCTTCCGTATCTGTTTATTTGCCTTTGTCTGACTTCCCCACTAGACGATAGGCTAGGAGAGCAGAGATCAGGCCTCTTCTGAATCATCACCATGACCCTAGCATTGTGCCTGGTACAAGGCAGGGACCTCAATAAATGTGTTGAGTGAAGAACAGGATATTATTTTGTGTTTCAATTGCCTGAAATGTCCATAAATGTGACTGGACAGCTCTAAGAAGAAAGCACAAGGTCTAAAAGCACTAATTATAAGTCAGATCAGCAGACGCTGACCCAGTACTAGCAGTCCTCCAATAAACAGGGTTGGGCCACATGGGGTTTTCTAACAAGCAGCACTGCCAGCAGCGACCGACCAAAGTGTGTAACTGCCGCCACTGCCCTGGGCACTGGGTGATCTGGTTGCTCCCCGGACCCATACCTCTAAGCAGCTGAGCAGCCTGCTCAGTCATCTCTGGACACGGGCAGAGCTGTCTACCGAGGATGCTGAGCATCTCCCCTGACCATGCAGGCTGCTGGGACCTTGGAGCGGCTCACCAGGAACCCCCACTTGTGTTTATAGGTTCCTGTTCTCAGTGGCTTGCTTCTGTGAGGGAGGCCATTGCTTCCCAGCCTGTTAACCATTCCCCTGATTGGGCTTCTAGTCTGCAGGGCCAGCACCTCATTTCCGTCATGCTGTGGCCGCCACAGTGCCCAACACAATGACTTCCAGAGGAAAGCATTACGGGGAATGCAAAGCCCACACCGGATGAACAGGGAGATGCCTGTCATCTTGCTGCCTTGTGCTATTACCCATCTCTAGTATTGCTATTAAACTTCTTACCTATTTGCGTTTCTTCTATCCCTAATAAATAGTAAGTTAATAGAGGGAACAGTCTCATACCCAAAACTTATTATTTTGAATATTACTAAATACTCAGTAAATACTTAATTTAGTAAATACTTAGTATTTACTAAATTTTACTTAATTCTTTTTCATAACATGCAAATAAGTGACTCTATATGACTCTACATTAAGAACAGAATAGCCATTAAGTAAGGATCCTCAGAAAAATCTGAATTAAAATTAACAGACTTTGTTGGCTACCCACACAACAACCACATCCTCCCTTAGTAACAGGAGTCAGATTTCCAGTTTAGGCATCATCCATTCTTCCTGCAGTTCATGTACTTAGGGAAGCTTATCCTGTACCAGCTCCAACTTAACCTAAGTCAGTCCAGGTCACCCGTCCTTTTGCATCAAGATTGATTCAAAGGAATCCAGGGTTAAGCCTATCACAAATGGCATCCTTGGCCACTGGGATTGGTCCTGAAGTGGTCTGGTCAGCTAAACGCGTGGGGGCTCTCTAACACACTCCCAACGTCCCCTTCCCCTTAGCACAGGCACACATAAAGTCTGGCAAGGACATGTCCTACAAAGTTGCTGACAGCCAATGTTCAGACCTCGTGAGGGAGCCAGTCTCAAAATGAAGTAGGCACTTGAGAAAGGCAGAGCAGAAAGAAGGATCCTCAGATGACTTTACTTATTTATTTTATTTTATTATTTTACTAGAGCCCAATGCATGAAATTTCGTGCAAGAGTAGACCTTCCTTTCCTCAGCTGCCGGCACCAGCTTCCCTCTGGCACCTGGGACCCAGGCTTCCCTCGCAGCCCTGGCTTCAACCCGATTAGATCTGTGCTGGTCTAATTAGCATATTATGCTTTTATTATTATAGATCTTATTTTTTAAATTGCCATTATTTTTTTTAATTAAAAAAATTGATTTCAGAAAAGAACGGAGAGGGAGAGAGAGATAGAAACATCAATGATGAGAGAGAATCATTGATCAGCTGTCTCCTGCACACCCCACACTGGGGATCGAGCCGGCAACCTGGGCATGTGCCCTTGACCGGAACCAAACCCCGGACCCTTCAGTCTGCAAGCCAACGCTCTATTTACGGAGCCAAACTGGCTAGAGCCAGATGATTTATAACAGGCTCTTAAATCACACTGAAGCCCAGCCTAACCTAAACTGCCTCTATAGGATTTACAATCCTAGGAACCTTCTGAATGACATTCAACCACGCACATGCATCATGCAGTGCTGACTGTGTCTGACACTGTGCTACACAGTGGGGTATATGAATACAGCTCATACTCTTCTCTTGAGTAACTGGTTAAAAAAAACAAACAATAAGGATAGTGATTTTTAGAAAAAGTAGTAAACAGAATGTTGGGTAGGAGTAGGGGCCTAAACGCAGTAGAAGGAGGGAGTGGGGAGAGTGTCACTTGAGGGAGGTGAAAATTGAAACTTTTAAATACAGAATCAGAATGGTTTGAGGGCATCTATTTTGACCGCAATTGCAGTCTGTTCCCTATTTTGGAGATCTCTTATTTTCCCAGGGGATTGACAGGAATTCAGAAAAGAACTAGAATTCTTTCCCTTCTCTGTTCTCTGGTCTATGCCAACATGGCCTCACCCTCTGACCTGGGAATGGCCTGCCTCCTGACCCTAATGCAAAGGATCACTGGGACTAACTGCAATCATCCCATGCCTTGGGGCATGTGTAATTGCTGACCGTGTCTGTATGTCCTCTCTCCTTCTGAGAAGGCTTTGGAAAAACCTGTGGAAAACCTAGAGAGCCCTGGTCAACACAGAAATCCGTTTTATTAACCCCTTTATGGTCATTCCATTACTTAATTTTTTAAGTCACAGAAGTAGAACACAGCTGCCATGGCTTACTCTTTCCTATAATTTAGTGTGTGTACTGGGGGAGAGGGGTCTTTCAGACTGACCTTATCCCACCAAAACTGTAGTTTAACTCGATTAGTCCAATAAGACCTTACAATACTAATTAGCCTCAGAACTTCAGACCTCAATATTTCATGACTTTTCTTGATCCATCTATTTGCATCTATTCATTATCCCATGTAGTTCTCTCCCTGGGACTCTCAAAACTCTCCCGAATGTATGTGTTCTCCTTCCTTTTCCTCAGTCATGTTTCCCTCTTGTCTTTGGTGTATACCTTTCTCCCTCTGCCTGAGGAATCATAGTGTCTAGGAGGGAAAATCCACTGTACTATTCTGAGGCACTAGGTGCTTTAACGAGCACAAGCCATAGAGGTGCTCTAGCTGCCATACCCCCCTGCAAGCCCCCCTCCCTGCAAACTCTGTCCTTGTGTTCCTAAGACACAGTCACCTTAGAGGAATAAAAATCTGAATCTATTTTCAGTTTCCTCTAAACAAGAACAAAAACAAAACAGTAAGAGAAAGAGAACAGCAAAAGTCACAGAAACAGCATCTGTGCTGGGATCAAAGTCCTTTTGAGAAGCGGGACCTCCCTGATGGGAATCAATTATTCTCAAGCTTGTACAGGAACAAAGCAATATAAAAAACTGCCTAACACTAACACAGTCTAGTACAAACCACTTAACATAAAACACAAATGAGCTTTAAATTTAAGGTACGATACTAAACTTTGTAATATGAACGTTTTCCCTTATAAATTTGGTCAGGTGAAATGTAAGTCCTACTGGAAGGACCCAATGTAAACAGTAGAAATTGTAGCCTTAAAGACAAATCAAAGCTCCAAAAAGAGACAGTGCAAATGGAGTAGCAGCCAAGATCCATTAATAGATTGTATTGAATGACCACTGCTATCCAAAGATCCCATTCAAGACATGTTCAGTGACAGTATTAGCAGATATTCAACGCTACAATGAGAAAAGCAGTAACTATTTTTGGGGGGAAAGTGGTCCATGGAGATAAAATCACTATCAAAAACCTCATCAAAGTAGAGGTGTAGGAAAGAATAGTGCTTTCCGTTATTATTTTAAAATTACCTGGTAGCCTGGCATTGAATCTGTAAGCAGCACACTGGGGAATTTTCCCCTGGAAAAACTAAAGAGACCTAGTGGAAAAAAAGTATTGATAACTAAAAGCGGAGGAGATTCTAAGAAATGACTCGCCCAGTCACCTCACAGTAAAGCCCATATACACAGATCTCTTAATCAATTTTTTATTACCTCATACATAAATGAATGGACAAAGATTATCAGACATTTAGAGAGAGCATGCATTGTAAAAGACAAAGTAGAAGAAAAACACAGAAAACAGAAATAAAACACCCTAATATCCAACAAGAGAAAAGAGTTAAATAAATTATAGTACATCTACATAGTTCTTTCGCCGTCATTTTGACTTGTTTTTGAAGCATTATGTAATATTAATTGGAAGAAAAATTTAAAGCCACATATTCAGCATGATCCCAAGTTTCTTTAATATAAATACTGATATATAGCAAACCTCCAGATAACCCCGATTGCCCACTAAAGGACTACAGAAGGAATGTTCACATATCCAGACCACGTGACATCCATTATCTAGACCAAACGGTCATCTAGAGGATTACCCTTTCTCAAGAATGTACCTGTTACTATGAGAACTCTTAGCATTCTTCTTCAAAACACTCTGGATATTGCCTACTTGTATTTCCAGCTTGCAAACCCTGACCTTTGAATAAATTTTTAGTCTTTATTTCTAGCAAAGCCTCCAGACTCTTTCTGAGTTCATTCCACAATATTCTTGTGGGGGTGGGGAAATAAACCTTGATCCTCATCCTTATAAACAAAAAATAACCCACAATATCATGGATTTATATATGAACGCTAAACAATCAAGCTTTTGGAAGTACATAATGTACTCATGAATTTGGCAGTATTTATCTTATGACCCAGCAACCCTACTCTTAGATCTATACTGAGATAAAATGAGTGCCTAAGTCCACTGAAGACATATGTAACAATGTTCAAAGCAGCTTTAGTTATAATAGCTCCAAACTAAAAACTATCCAAATGTTCACCAAGAGCAGAACCGATAGATTATGGTTTAGTTAGATAACAGAAAATTGCTCAGCAATAATAAAAAAAAGCCCCACAATATTACATACAATAATGTGTGTGTGTGGTGGGGGAGGAGCTAAGAGTTCTTATAATAACAAATACAGACAAAGATGAGCAAAAGAAGC